ACAAGAGAGACATGCACATATGCAGGCACACTACAATATCTCCTCATGGCAAACAGTCTGCTATAGTCACAAACACAAGAAGTCAAGCACATAACCAAATTTTCTCATGGCAAACAACCCACATCTCTTTCTCGCTCAATCACATGTGAAATTTAGTCCAGTATATTTTCAATTGGAAAAGCAGACACATGTAAAAGCAAAGATATCTATTTTAGAGTATGACACTGAATCACTTCTAGTCCATTATATATTCAATACAAAATATGAATGCAAGATAACATTCTTCTTTATTGGGTAACCGTATTTGCCCATCCAATTTGAAACAAGCCATTCTCCAATTGAACCTCAAAATCATTATTAGGGACTTCCAGGCTAAAGACGGAACACAGAGAAAGCTCTATCCTTGCCAAGCACCTATTCCTAAAACCAGGACTTCTATGGGAAGTTCTGACACCAGCCTGTTAAAAATTACTTTTAGCTCATGTACACAGTTTTGAATTTCCATAAAGTCTCTCAACATTCATTTTTGAACAAAAAATGATTTAATTCAGTATGATATAGTCATCATCTCCTCTTTTCTACTTCAGATATTCATCTCATATAATCACTTTAAGGAATTATCTCCACCATATTTAGTTCTGCAATCTCTCCCTCTCTACAATCACAGTCACACATATTGTAGAGTACCTCAACAACATGAAAGGGAGTTCAACTGCAATGCAAACTGTTACATTGATTCATTCTCATTACAGAGTTGAGAAATGCAACTTTCTATAAAAGAGAGAGAGAGAGAGAGAGAGAACATTTACCAAAACAGCATCACAGAAGATAGTAGATTCGAATTTAAAAAAGAAAAAAAAAAAGAAGAGGGAGACTGCATGAAACCTGAAAGCATGTTTCATCAACAGCCATATTAAGTAAACATAAAAATATGTAGACGTGGTCTTGCCAAAACTACAATCAGAAGTAGCAGGCTAGCAGCCGTCGGGATATGCAAGATTAATGATTAGATTAAGAAAGCTGTCTGACATCCAAAGTTCTGACAATGTCAGGATGGACTGTTACTGAAAACAAAATAGTTGAAGTAGCATTGATGAAGACCCATTTATTAACAAAAATCTTCAAGTCCTAGTGAAAGAGAGAATTGATCCTAGTATCTGTACAACCATTTATAAACTTCACAAGCATGCTAGATGGCACCTTCTGGTAGTAGTTGTCTAAAGGTGGTCCATTTGTTTTTGCAACTATGGTGCTTTTGCTCACGTAGGTGAATGTGGTGGTAACTTTGGTCAGGATGTTTAGATTGTTGGACAGTATCAATCACCAAAAGGCAAAGCAAAATTTTGCTAAGAAGAAATACAAATCCAATCCATGCTAATCTAACATTTTGATTGCACGCTTACACTCTGTATGGAATGTAATATACTAAGATGAACTTACTCATAAATGGCCAATGAAATTCACGAAAATAGTTAATAAACATAGTTGACTACACTATGCTCGTGTTATCATACAGCTTAGATATATTGCTTTTGCCAGTCAGCTTGATGATATCTTCTCTAAGGCACATCCACCAGGTTGTTTACATGACTTGGTTTCCAAACTCAAGCCAGTTTCTATTTCACCATCTTGAGATAAAAAGGGCAAGTTAATGCATGTAAAAATTTTCTATAATTTGTAGTCAACCATCCGTCACACTACACCAAAAAACACTGTTTTTCAGTTGGTTTGGCATAAAAGCATCCCGCTCACTACCTCATTACTCTTCTGGCAAGCATTACATGAATGGATACCTATGGATAGCCACATGAAGTCTTAAGGGATTTATGCTAGCTTCAAAATGTCAATGTTGCAACTCGGAAGAAACCTTAATGCATGTACTATGGCAGAGCCCTGTGGCACAACAGGTTTGGAATCACTTCTCACAATTCTTTCAGATCTCAGTCATTCAACCACAAAATATTTTGCAGGTAGTATGGGCATGGTTTCACTCAGGGGACTATACAAAGCAGGGTCATATATGAACTTTGCTTCCTATCTTCATCTGTTGGTTCTTATGGGTGGAATGGAATGATGCTAAACACAGGCAACTAGGCATGTATTCCCAACGTGCCATATGGAGAATTATGAAACTGTTGACACAACTCCATAAAGGTAACCAAATGGAGAAATGGCAATGGAAAGGAGATTTGCAAATAGCAAAACTGTAGAACATAGAATTCCCAATCCATTATTCTAAGCCCCACAGATAATTAGATGGATAAAACCACTGTTCAATGAAATAAAACTGTATGTGGATGGGAGCTCTAAAAATGGCCAGGATGCCACAGGCAGTGGAGTAGCACGTGACCACACAGGTGAACTCCTTTTTGGCTTTTTGGAACACTTTGGTCTCCATAACTCTCTCAAAGCTGAATTACATGCAATTGAGAGAGGACTCAGTTTATGTAGTGCACATAATTTGCCAAATATTTGGATTGAGATGGATGCCAAAGTAATAGTCAATATGATAAAGGACAGCAGTACAGGTTCCCATGACATCTGGTATGTCTTAGTATCTATCTGCAAATAATTGCATCGTGTTTCCTATAGGATTTCTCATATTCATCGTGAACGTAACCAAGCCGCAGACTTTCTATCGAATAGAGGTTATTTACACGAAGGACTTAGTGTATTCAACCAAGCTGAAGGCCAATTAGACGGTATGCTCAAGTTAGATAGAATTAATCTCCCTTGTGTTAGAAGCAAATATATGTAAGAGAGTAGTACTCCTTATTTATTTTTTGTTTTTAGCATATTGTAAAAGAGTAGGATTATTTTCCTCATGCTTGAACAAAAAATCTATTAAGGAAAATAATACCTCTATTAGGACGCTTTACTTTTATTTTTACTTTAAAATTATTTCTTGTAAAAGGGGTTGTATTACTTTTCTTACGCAGCCATCATTAAGCAAGGAAAGTAGTACCTCTTTTAGGAATTTTTACCCATATTTCACAGGTAATTCTAGAGGTAAGGTTATGTCCCCTACTTAATTTTCATTTTAAGCAATAAAACATTAACAGTGTAGCTGGGCCCTGCGAGAATTTCCAACATAAAAAAAAACATATTTATTAACTTGCCTTATTTGTATTCAATTGTTCGTGGTAAGAAACTCACTCGTGCAACAGACACAAAAAGCAGAAATCCTAAGGAAATCTATAGTAACTGACAAAACTAACCTCCTCCTTCAATTGATTTATCAAAAATAAAGGAAATGAAGGTGCTTGCTTACTAAGGACTTCGACTTAAAAGGTTCCTCATTAGACCGAGCTGAGTTCAATCATCATCCTACAATTTGTTGATTCTCATTTTTTAGAACCAATTCAAGCTCGGAAATCTTGAAAGCAATCAATTGACAATTTATACCCTAATTTCCAATAATTTTTTGGATGAATTTTAAATAAAAATTTGGTAACAAAGCTAAAAGTAAAAGAAAACTACACAATAGATAAAAGAAGGGAGAAGTCATCAGCATTCAGCAGCAACTTTCATTCAAAAGAATCAAAAGGGAATGCAAAGTCATGGAAATAAGAAAATGGATATGAATCATTTCTCAGGTACAAGCAGATAACAATTCAATTAAATAACATATAAATTATAAAAAGCATTCAAATTAGGCAAAAGGGTATCCAAAACCCCCCCTCCCCCCGGATTTTTTTTTTCTTTTAAAAGTGCAGTTCAAGCAGAAAGACTCGACTATAAACACAAAGAAAGGCATATAGCAAGAGAGAAAGAAGCGGGACTGGGAGGGTACCTCTTTTGGTCGTCATGACGACGACAAACAAAGAAAGAAGGGTGGAAACGGCAAGAAGCGGAAGTGTTAGAAGACGCAGTGTAGCTTTGCTTGCATCTCTTGCATATCTTTTCTATTTCTTTCTTCATTTCTCCCTTCGTCTCTTCCATGGCCGCGGCCTCTCTCTGCTTTTTCCCGGACTTGAATTTTTGTGTCTGTGTGTCTCGGTCCCTCGGCCCACAGATTTTTATGTTTATTCTTTTCGCAATCCTCCTCTAAAATAAAACCAGTCCTTTTTTTAAATTTTTTTTTTACATTTTAAATATAAAATAATATTTTAACAAATCAATTATTAAATTAAATAATATATTCATACTCATATAATTTTATTTTTTTTATAAAATTAAAAAGTAAACTTTGAACTTAACTCTCTGTAACCAAGATAAAATATATCTTACTATTAAATCAAATTATCAAGTGCAAACTCATCTAAGTTTTCAAATCAATATGATATTTACGTGTTGTCAAGTTATCAAAATTGAATATATATAAAAAATTAGACCTAACATGTATTTGATAATCTCAATTATTATCTCTTTTTTAATTTATATATCATACTTTTAGTATATGTACATAAATATTTACGTGAAAATCCTCTTTCATCTTCATAAAAAAGGCATTAAAATATAATGTATTACATGTATTAGTCTTTTATTCATTCAGTTTTCTTTTTTTTAAGGAATTATAACATTTTAGTGCTCGTTTAGTCTAATTTTTTTTCATCTTATTTATCTTTTAAAAACAAAAGTTATGTCAAATATAAATTTTGAAAAGCTCTTAAAAAAAATAATTTTTTTAAAGAATAAAATTTTTAAAAAAAGAGCTTTAGAAAAAATCTCCTCAGGAGCTTTTTCTTCTCTTTATTTTAAAAATAAAAAAAATTTAATTTTGTTTCAAAAATATGTTCATCTATTAAAATAATTACAATATAACTTTTTCAAAAAAAAATACCTTTTACGATAATTTTAACCAAAATTATAACTTATAAAAAAATTTATAAAAAAAATTTACTAAACAACTTCAACTTAATTCTAAAAACTATTATTTTTCATAAGAGTTTCATAAAAGCTTTTAAGTTAAAAAAAAACTAAGCCAAACAGGCTTAATGTCAACCTTGAAAGTTAAAGTAGAAGGCATTTAAGAATTATTAATGAAGTTATTTTGGAGAAAAACTAAACATAAACATAGTTCACCCAACCAAAACAAACTACAAACCAAAATTTGAATCCAAAGGCTATACAACACAACAAACCAACAAATAAAGAGTAGGGATTACATGAACAATACAAAGTAAAGGAGTTTAAGTACATAAGCAAACACCAAATATATATGTCCATAACACAAGTAGGTAGATAAAATAAAAAGCCAACAATTAGGAGAAATGGGAAGCCAAGCACACCCCTCCACTCTGTTTTTAATTAGGGATTACATCAACCGTACTTCAATCCAGTCACCAAGGGGAAATTCCAGTCCCAATACCAATAAAATGGAGATATGCCCTGCCACTCATTCACAAGCCAAATTAGGACATTTTCCAAACAATGCTAAATTGGCCAATATTTCCTTTTAAATGTAACTGCTTCAATGGGTTTTTCATAAAATAGCAGTGTCAAGAAAATACTAGCTTAAAAAAACTTCAATTAATATATTTCAATGACAATAAACAAAAATTAAAAGCAATACCAGTTGGTGCCTAAAAAAAACTATTAAAACATGATAAATGTGGACATAATCTTTTTTTTTTTTAATTTTGGGGAAGGGGGAATGCTAATATCGTTTATTATCCAAAAATGAATATATATTTTTTTAAAATTTTTGAAAGTATATTTTGTGCTCCATTTTTATAAAATGAAAATAATAAATAATAAAAGACCAACAACCACAAAAACAATTTCAAATGAAAATAAAACCCGTCATAGCTTAAATATTTTGATATATATTTTTTTTCTTTTTGATGAGGAAAAGAATATTCACACACTCAACTTTTTACTTAAAAAATATATTCGCTTACTATTGATACAAATGTTTAGATATTTAATTTTGTTTTCAGTTCCTTGTGAAATAATAGTGATATTAATACCTAGGCATGTAATAACATATCACTACTACTTCGCTGATCATCCTAACTAGTTATGTATAGATTTATAGACTAACAATTGTGGCCCAAAATATAGAAGTTTTGCACTAAAAAAAATTGTAAAATTTAGAAGTTCTAATGGTTTAAAAACACTTTTATATATCATCTATTATGTTATTTCTTTTTACATTTTAGATAAAAAATATGAAACGGGGGGAAGCAAATTACAAAATAGAAAACGAAAAAAGAAGAGAGCAAAAATATTAAGTCTTACCGAATCATGGGGCCGATAATTGTTTAGACGAAACTTCATCACCGTCCAGATATATACGAGAGACATGAGCAATGTTAGGCCAATCCTCTCCGCTTTCCGGTTTGCATCTTTCACTCAAAACAGGACAATCTTTAATCCACAGTTGTTTGAGGCGCTGCATCCTTTCTGGCAGAGTTGATAATTTTGGGCATTGGATGATCTCAAGCTTTTCAAGTGATGTGAGATTGTGCCACTCTGGTAAGGTTGCGAGGTTCTCACATTCTCTAATATGTAGGCACTTTAAAGTGTTGGCAGATCCTTG